TATATATATATATACACACCTCTCAAGCCCCGAGCCGTAGGCTTCAAGCTCAAAATCGCAAGACTTGACCCTGCAATGCCGCTGGAGGCCTCTGGAAACAGCTTGACGCGACGGAGGAGGCGAACTCATGCGACACGACAATCGGTAGCTTCTCCTGATGCTCGGGAAGTTTAGCGATGTCTGCGCACAAAGCCACCACTTCCTTACAATGCCTTACACTTCTCAACACCCGTACACCAAGCTGCAAAACGCCTTGCAACTGCAACTGCATGACTACAACTCGATTTCAGGCATCCCAAAGGCTGTCTAAGAAGGCAGGCTCATCATAAGCCCTCATATACACCATAAATCCCTGACACACCCCCCCCCCCCCCAAAAAAAAAAAAAAAAAAAACTCCCATGTGAATCCTGAGCAACCCCATCCTGAACCGCTTCGCCGTAGATCTTGGCCTCTTTGGGTGCGCCAATGAAAAAGCGCGGGTCCTTCTGCAAGGGCTCAGAGAACTCAGCAATGCGATGCTTCTGACTGCACTCAATAGAACATGGCTTCTTTCGCTGATAGTATAGGGGCCTTGATAATCGGAATAAGGTTTTGGGGCCCATTGTACTATACTTATAATAAAGGAACCCCCAAAATAGTATTGGTAATGATTTGGGTCCCTATATTACAGACTCCACCTGGGGGAAGAGGCTCCCCCTGCGATCCCGAGACTAGGCCCTGGTGTGTTGACCCTAGAAATGGGGTTTCCGAAAATTAGGGGTACCTTATTCGGGGTCCTTCTCATAAGGATCCTACTACTTAGGGTACCTTATTTGGGGGTCCTTATAATAGGGATCCTATTTTTTAGGGTACTATATTAGGGTCCCCTTATTTTCGGAAACCCCCAAATAGCTCCCGCACCTGACTGCTGCGGAGGCCGAAGTACGGCGAACAACTACGCGATGGCAGAACTCATGCAATTCCCAGTGATGCTAGGGGTTCCATGTGATGGGTATCACACTCTCTCTGTTCAACTGCAGCCTGCCATCGGCACCAAAAGACGGTCATCCGTGTCTTCATCAACAAGATCACAGTCATAGGAACAGTGTGCCATACCTCCACTCTGCTCCACTACAGCACACAGCCAGTCTCCTGTACCACGGTGGAGTCTTCAGTACTCGCGCTGGAGGCGGCCACGTGGATGGTGTAGTTCACTGTCTCCTGTTGCAAATACCCTACTCCCTGGGCCCGGGAACCGAGGCAGAGACGCTGAACCTCATGTATCTAACTTAGCCGCCAGGCCTTAGCCTTTACATCTCCATAAACCCAGGCAGCGCCGCTACTGTAGGGGCCTTAATAATTGGAATAGGGCTTTGTAAATGTTGGTAATTATTTAGGCCTGAAAATTATGAGATTAGTTGGTTGCTCCACGCAAGCATGTGTTGGGCGGACAGGGGTCCTCATGGAATGGTCTGAACCCGAAGGTTTCTTGATACGGAGGATCCCCACACACAAACACATGCTCTCGGATCACATCGGAATTCCTCATGCCAGTGAAAACCTGAGATAGGGGAAAGCCACCTTAAAGTGGAACTGCCGCCAAGCAAGAGACCCACGGCATGCTGCCAAGAATGTGCTTGTGGCTGCCATCGCGATGGCAGCCGTGACGATGATGCTGATGAAGATGGCGGTGATGACGATGATGATATTGACCATGATGATGACGATGGTGACAATGACGGAAAATGGTGATGCATGCTGACTCGGGCAGTCAGGCACACACCCACGACTCCGAAAATGCTCTTCGGCAGTTCTCCAAATTAGGGTCCCGTTCAAAGTCGTTGTTTTATGAGGGTGCCGTACTATTTTTTGGGTCATAAACGGGACCCTAGTTTAGAGAGCTACCCTCTAAAATATCTACTACACTAAACCCTAAACCCTAAAGCCTAAACCCTCTTAAATATCTACTACAACCCCTAAACCCTAAACCCTAAACCCTTAATTAAAATAGTTATCTACTACAACCCATGGCCCCACACATGCAAAGCCCCGCCTGACTCTCCGCGTCCGGGAGCCGGCCGCTGGTCGACTGAAGGGTCCCCGGCTCTACGGGTTTCGGCTCTTGGCTTCTGGGATCAAGGCCTCCTTTGCAGGGATATATATATATATATATATATATGTATGCATAAATATATGTATGCATAAATATATGTATGTATATATATATATATATATATATACATACATATGTGTGTATATACATATGTATATATGTATATACATACATACATACATACATACATACATACATCTTATAATAAAGTTACATATTCATGTTGAATGAAGGGGTGGCAGGTCCGAGGCACGGGAGGGCCTCTTTGGCCGCAGCGCTTCACTGCGGCCTGAAACTGTATGAGTTGTGACTCTGTCATCTTGTTTCGGGTTTAGGGTGTAGGGTTTAGGGTTCAGGGTTTCGGGTGTAGGGTTTAGGGTTTAGGGTTTACGGTTGTCTGACCACTAAACAAGTCAAGTCCTTTGCAGGAAAATCCCTTCTAGAAGTCCCCTCCCTTATCGTACCTCCTCCTTGTTTGTATCTAGCACCCCAGAAAACAAAAAAAGCCTAAACCCCAAACCCCCGAACCCTTATCCCTAAACCCTACACCCCAAACCCCCAAAGCCGCATCGCACCTCCTTTTCTGTATCCCCGGACCCCAGCAAGGGCCTCCACCTAATTTGCTGTATCCCAGGCCCTAAACCCTAAACCCTACACCCTAAACCCTGAACCCTAAACCCCAAACCCTACACCCTAAACCCTGAACCCTAAACCCCAAACCCTACATCCTAAACCCTGAACCCTAAACCCTAAAACCCCAAACCTGAATCCTAAAACCCTGAACCCTAAGCCCTGAACCAGCAGGGGCCTCCTGCTCTGCAGCAGCGACCAGGCCGAGAAGAGGCCCCTGGAGGTTGCTGGGGACGCCTGGAGCGGCTCTGAGTGAGGGGATTAAAAGGCTCAGGGGTTTTGGGGTTTAGGATTTAAGGTTTAAGAGTTTGAGATTTAGGGGTTAGGGGCTAGGGTTTAGGGTTTTGGGTTTTGGGTTTTGGGATCGTGAGGTTCGGGGCTAGGATTTAGGGTTTTGGGCTTTGGGATTTTGGGGTTCGGGGCTAGGGTTTAGGGTTTAGGAGTTTGGGATTTAGGGGTGAGGGTTTAGGAGTTTAGGATTTTGGGGTTTGGGATTTTGGGGTTTAGGGGATTTTTGGGCTAGGGCTTGGCGTGTCAGGCCTAAGGGCTAATCGGGCAGACTTCGGGGCTTAAGAAGGGTTAAGAGTTTAGGCATTCGGGTGTGTAGGACAAGGATATAAGGAGATGTTCTTCCGTCTTGGGCCAATTAATCTGCCTATGGTTTTTGGTCAAGGATTTATTTTGGAGTTTAAGCTTTCACGGGTTGAATATAGGGGCAATAATAATTAGAATAGGGTTTTGGGGGGTATATTATACTTTTGAGTTATAATAAGGAAGCCGCAA